TTTTTCATATTCCCTTATCGTTTGGTTTAGAAGGTAGATACGTTTTAAAGTAAAATATTCAATTGTTTATTGTTCGTTAATATGCATGTATATATTTTTTTAAAATATATATATATATTTGTGTGAAATTTTATTCTTCCAGAAAACCTTATATTTCATCAAATCCAAACAAATCCGAAGGAAGTTTCACTTCAGCTGCGCGTATCACAACAGCTTTTATTATTAATATCATATTTTTCACAAACTATTGAATATTCATAGAGCTTATTAGTTTCTTTAATTTATTTATGAAATGAAAACCGGACGAATTTTGGAGCAAAATAAAATTACCAGATTTTAAAAATATTGATTAGGGATTATGGTCTTATACTTTAGTTTTGTATCAATAATCAAACATCAATTAACATGTAGGAAAAATAAAAAAAACCTTTATTTTTTTATATTTTTCATTAATGGTGAATTTATAAAGTATTTTATTGATAAAGTCAGTAATTATGAATTTAACAGGCAAATTGAACACGATATGTTATTCCTTTTAAATTAGGTCAATTGTAATAAATATTTTTTCTTGTAGATAACATGCATAGCTTTTGTAAGTAGTATATGCGTTTAACCGTGTTTTTTCGTTTCTTTTTTTGTTTTTGACAATTGAGTATATAATAATACTTTGGCAAAACATACATATTTACGAGTAAAAACACTTTAGCAATCGTAGGCTATTGTAAATTATGTCAACATCTATAATGCTATAAACCACAATAGCGTTACAAAAAAAATAAGACAATTAATAGTACAAAATGTATACTAACTCGAGGTCAAAGTAACAACTAACAGACCAAAAAAAAAAAATAATTGAATGACGATCTAATGGATCGTCGAATATCGAAAGAAATACCATAATATCATGTTGAAATTAGCTGTGAAATTCCTTCTTAAACTTATTTTATTTTACATTGGTATAAAATGCTACTACGGTACAGATACAAAACAAATAAATAAAATAAGGTACATCATTGTAAAACCAATACCTACCTGCTACGCTCAGCGTCAAAGCTGAAAACCGAATGTTTTTTTGATGCATACCATACTTCTTGCAAAAATTACCACATGATATTCTTTTTTTAAATTTGTTTATAACTTAACCACATTTTTCTTGGTTGATATTTTATGTTGAAAAAAATATTATTACTTTTATAAAACCGCATTAACATAGTTTCTAAGCAAAATTAAAAAAAAACTAACATGATTATTGGATTTCCCTCAAAAAATCATCCTCTTTTGATTTCATGATATAAGTCAAGGAAATTAATAAGTTTGGTGAATAGAAGAATTTGTGTGCCAAAATTCATCCACTAGCCTTTTATGTTGCGGCTATTAATAATAGTTTTATAATAAAAGCTGTTGCGAGACACGCAGCTGAAGTGAATCTTATTTCTGATTTTTTTGGATTTTATGGAATATAACTCTTTTTGGGATAAATAAAAATACACACAAATATATTTATATATATATAAATATTGAAATAATACTTATTAACTTGCATACGAATTAATTAAATTGTATCAATAGACATCTGGCTAATACTTGGGGGAGGAGGTAGCCAGAAATTTATAGGCCTCAGATCTAGTATATAGTTATAGAAATCCTTTTAAAAGATATGTTTTAACTTTATTTTGACGGACAGTGATTATTACTTTTCCCCTCGTCCCAGGATGTATTGATTTTAAATAGTTATTGCATTTTACAACTCACATTTAAACATGTATTTATTATTTTTATTTTTTTATCAAAACAGAATACATTTCAAAAAACCACTTGTTTTTTGAAAAACTAAACATTACTCATTTGTTATTCATTTTGGGGGAGCACTTAAATAAATACAAATTGTATCGTCGGATTTTGTGCAACACAGAAATTCGAACTAAAATCAGAATATTTAAAAAATTTTAGAGTCGTTATTTATGTTAAGAATAAAATCACTTTTAAATAAACATACTTCGACGCGTATCTGTAGATATAATCATTGTTCATACATATACGATTAGGGTTGCTCGGTTGTCTATAATATTTACACTATTGTCTATAATGATCTTTTTTATGATTAAAAATACAATGGAAATATTTTCAAACACCTGTTCACTGTTTTTTTTTTACAAATACTTGTTTTTTTGTTTTTAAAAATGTTGAAAAGGGATTATGGTCTTATACTTTAGTTTTGTATCAAAAATAAATTAACAAGTAGGAAAAATAAAATAAACCTTTATTTTTTTATATTTTTCCTTAATGGTGAATTTATAAAGTATTTTATTGATAAAGTCAGTAATTATGAATTTAACAGGCAAATTCAACACGATATGTTATTCCTTTTAAATTAGGTCAATTGTGATAAACATTTTTAAAACATATTTTTTCTGTAGATAACATGCATAGCTTTTGTAAGAAGTATATGCGTTAAACCGTGTTTCTTTATTTGTTTTTGACAATTATGTATATAATAATACTTTGGAAAAACATATATATTAACGAGTAAAAACACCTTAGCAATCGTAGGCTATTGTAAATGATATCAACATCTATAATACTATAAACCATAATAGCGTTACAAGAAAAACATGAATTTAATGTAGATGACATTTATATTTTGTACTATTAAAAATTATTGGTTTAAAATGTTTAGACAATGTCGGATACACTAACTGACTTTTGAAATAAATAAATAGTTCCAATAACTGTGAATTTAAATGGAACGTAATATATTTAATTGTACAAAATGTATACTTATTCAAGGTCAAAGTTTCAGCTAACAGACAAATAAAAATATTTAAAGGTCCATCTAATGGATAGGAGGGACTGTTAAATGATTAGTATATAAAGCCAGCTCACAACCAACTTCAAATGGTCATATTTTATCTCCGGTTACAATGTATGAATTTAGAAAATCCACTGGCATATACTTAGGTGATTAGGCTTGAAATGACACAATAAGAATATTTTCTATAGACTATAGATAGTAAAAAATCAAAATGAATTATATGTTTATATTTGTAAATTCGTTACACCAAATAAATTGTAATAATTCACTCGACTTAACTCACTTAACTCATCAACACAAAAAAGTCGAGGAAATGAATAAGTTTTATGAATAGAATAATTTGTGTGCCAAAATTCATCTAAAAGCCTTAGATACTGATAGTAGGCTATTAGTATTTAGTAATAATTTAATAATAAAAGCTGTTGCGATACGCGCAGCTGAAGTGAAACTTCCTTCGGATTTGTTTGGATTTGATGAAATATAAGGTTTTCTGGAAGAATAAAATTTCACACAAATATAAATAATTTTATCAGTAAGCATATTTTTTTACATAATAATAATAATATTTAAAAAAAAAATATACATGCATATTAACGAACAATAAACAATTGAATATGTTATAATATATAACAAGCTTATGATACAACCACAATACAATACTTTTTATTAAAACTTTTGAAAAGCAAAGGAAAGTAATAGGTAACTCGTAATCTTTACCACCGTAGCACACTCTATGGCAGAACACTATAAGTTTATGATACAACCACAATACAACAGTTTTTATTAAAACTTGTTTTTATCTAATCAAGGTTAACGTAATTGACACCACTATGGTTTTCACCCTCTCAACTATTTGTTTACAGCTTAAGAAATATCAGATGGCGCAACGTGTTCCAATAATCAATTTTTTTTGTTGAAAATAATTATGATTATTTAATAATGTATGAACCTAATGATGAGACCCAAAATCAACTCCGGTGTTCCAATAGTTATGGATAATAAATATTTTCGTACACATTTTTTTATTTAATTGTCCTAATGTAATAACTTATAATCATTTCTTAATTTTACATTTAATTTGATTGTATAGAAAATGAATAACTATGTTAATTTTTTTCTTGTTTATATTAATACATACAGTGTGATTCTTTTATTATGAACCACTAAATATCTCATAGGGTTTACTAAGCAATTAAAATATAACTTTCCATATTGTTGTTATACAATCTGATCTCAACTTAAATGGTAACGTATATATTTTATTAACTTTTTATATTGAGAATAATGTACTAAACATTTTTGAATGGTCGATAACCAGTTTCGGATAACCATTGGATGGGAGGTGAAGTGCGGTTGGAAAATGCGTGCAGATAAAAATAATATTACACTCTGCTTTTCATCCTGCCTTAAACTTGAAACTTCAATAACTTCAAAAATAAATTGAATTGAAAATTCGAAGTAGGATTTTATACCAGTTTAAAATGAAATAATTATGAGAAGGAATTTCACAGCAAAACTCAACACGATATTATATAGTATATCTTTAAAATTAAGTCAACTGTAATAAAACATTTTAAAATATATTTTTGTACTTGTAGTTCTCCTACATAGCTTTTGTAGGTAGTATATGCGTTATACCGTGTTTTTTTGTTTCTTTTTTTGCTTTTGACAACTGAGTAGGTGATAATAGTTTGGCAAAACATACATACCTACTTAAAACAATGTACGAAGTCTAGTAAATGGTGACAAACCTTATATATTACAACCACAACAGCATTACAAGATAAACATGATTAAACGTTTTGTAGATAATATTTATATCGAAAATTATACTTATTGAACCCTTAAAATCAGAAAACCCCAAAAAATGTAATAATAGTTTTGATCTTGTCAAAATTTAAATACAATTTGTCCTTTACAGGTTGCCATCAGGTAAAGCATCAAGGTTCAATCAAGAGCATAAAAAGTATAAATAGTAAATAGTAAGTTATGTATTGTACATTTATATTTGTTATAACTTATAAAGTTTTACAATTGAAACTGCTTACCGCATTTTCATAGACATTAAAAAAAAAACAAATTAAAAATAAGAGGAGGAAGCAGAAGTAAAAACAAAAGTTGGAATGGATTAGATAATGAAATGCAAATTTACTCTTTCGGTGAATATTATTTTTATTGGTAGACAGGTATATGTAATAGATATAATATAATTTATATGATAGTTAACAAAAAAATCGGAAGGTCGAAACGTAATTATGATAAACAAAGATGATCATTTTACAGTAAGCATATGTATTTTCAAAATGTGACACAGATTTTGGATATTGCAGCTTTTTTGGTAAATTTGACTGTCGTTAGTTATCTAAAAAAAAAAATATAAAAATATTGTGTATAAAAATCGTTTATTTATAATTACACATGAATTTTAATTTAAATTAAGTTAGACACCTTTATAAATGTATTCAGAACAAAGTGTTTGGTAACTTTAGGATTTACTAGTATCCATTGTTAAATTTCGAAATAACTATGATTTTAAATATCCAATTAATATGTATATAAAATAATCGTTTTTAAAAAAATTTGAAACATCATTATTAAACGTTTTCAGCTTTATTGAAAATAATTTAAAAACCAGTACAGTGGGGTCGGTGCATAGTGGGGACGGAGCATAGTTGGGTCGGGGCATAGTGGTGACGGGGAGGTCACAGGCTTACAGGAATTTTTAAATCTGAAAGTGATAAAATCACTTTCGAAAAAACGCTTCGATGCAAATCGGTAGTTAGTATTTTCAAGCCAGTACAGTCCAAACCAAGCACAGTATAAACCAGCAAAGTTAGAAAGTTTTAAATGAAGGTTCTGTATTTACAAATGAGCATCAAAGCGTTAATTTGAAAGTGATTTTATCCGAGAGGACTAGTACAGTAGAGTATTGGCATAATGTAATCAAAGCAATGAGGAAACGGAGAGGTCACAGGTCTACAAGAATTATTATAAATAAAAGTGACAAAATTGAATAAAATCGCTTTCAAATAAACGCTTTGATGCTCATTTGTAAATACAGAACCTTCATTTAAAACTTTCTAACTTTGCTGGTTTATACTGTGCTTGGTTTGGACTGTACTGGCTTGAAAATACTAACTACCGATTTGCATCGAAGCGTTTTTTCGAAAGTGATTTTATCACTTTCAGATTTAAAAAATCCTGTAAACCTGTGACCTCCCCGTCACCGCTATGCCCCGACCCAACTATGCTCCGTCCCCACTATGCACCGACCCCACTGTACTAGTTTTTTTTTTTTGCAAAAACTTAGTGGATCAAATAACACAAATACAATGTCTTGTTATATTTTGTTGGAATGGTCGACGATTCATGTTTCAATCGTTTGTACTCCATAATTTAAATTATAATCGCTTATTCTCAATAAAATTAATATTTATGTATTATATACTTCCATTATAGCAATCTCACACAAACTATTTATACTTCACAGATTATATTATTTCAAAGCTATATTATACTTCTATTTTATTAGATTGACAATGTACAAAATAAAATGCAACTAAAAAAACCTTTTCATAGATCCTTAAAATGTAAAGGGTGGGATAGTGAAACGGGTTTTTACCATTTAAATACATTAGAAAATCGCCGTTTTACTGCCTCATCCTGTATATTAATTTCTTGTTATTTTCTAAAGAAAAATCGATTTTCTTACATTTAAATTAAAATAAATCTGGTACTGTGATGGAGAAAACAATAAATTTTACCTACATATATTACTTATTAGTTAAATATTACTAACGTGTATAGCCACTAGCAGTCGGCTGTTGCCTGTTATTTAACAATAACATTTTATGGAGATTTTAAAAATTGTGTTTTTTTAATAATAGCATAGGAGCAGTATCATGATGTTCACGAGATTTGATCTAGTCATAAAATAAAATATTATCATTTATGACTTAATTATTATTAAAATTTATCTTAATAGTAATAGTACATAGTAATAAAATAATGAAATATTTTATACAAAATTAGAGCTACAAGTTGGTAAACTAAAAAATTAAAATTAGCACGAATCAGATTATCTAATATTAGACAATTCAAACAATCAAGCGTGAATCTCTTTAAATGAATAACAGTATAACAATATACAAAACATTAGTTTTCCTATAAAAAAATTGTGTAATAAAAAATACATGTTGAGGCGGTTTACTGCATAAAAACCAACACTTAATCTGAATCTAAAAAACAACAGTCCTCTTCATAATTTGCAGGTAGTTGGACCTTATATACTCATAGTTGACCTTCGGTACGGTAATATAACGCAGGCTATAAAATAACGAGATATCGACAGTGGTTTTGTCGTATCGTTTTTTTCCCAATAAATCGAGTGTCTACTATAATCAGTTACATGATTTAGTCGCCTGTGATATCATGTAATAAACACTATGTTATGATACCGATCATTGGGCCCTAACCTAATCTAACACGGATAGACGTTACCAACTGATAGTTTTTAGTGTCAGTTCGTTTCTCACATCTGATACACTGGGTTTTTAGTTAAAAAAAAAAAAAAAAAAAAATGAACTTTGTGTAAACTACTGGCAAATTTTCAACGCAAATGTTTCAAAATTACCGCTAAAAATACCGAAAAACAAAAAAAATTGTACCCCCCCTAGGGGGGTGGGAAATGGGTATAGTTTAAGTTTGACACAACTGACGTGTGCGGGCATACCAAATAATTATTTCTTATACATTTCAACTCGATCCGACTCTTTTTCTGGAAATTATAGCCACTAAAAGTTCTAACTTAAAAACTCGTATGGTTTTTTTTTTGTTTTTTCAACTTTCGTCTGTGAAGAACTAAACTTTTTCAACTTTAACCCCCCCAAAGTACCAACTAGATGAAATTTGCGATTTATAGAGTTGCTACTCGAAGGAATTGGTTTAGTATTAAAAAAGTTACAGTGTATACAGATAAAAAAAAAACACACATCAGAGTAAAACCAATACCTTCTCGCTTTGCATCGAAGCTAAAACAACAGTCCTCTTCATTATTTGCAGGTAGTTGGACATTATATACTCATAGTTACACTTCGGTAAGGTTTTATAACGCAGGCTATAAAATAACGAGATAACGACAGTGGTTTTGTCGTATCAGAATCATTAAGTGTCTTAATAAGTACACGGATAGGTTTTTTTCCAAATAAATCGAGTGTAAAAGACATCAAAAGTGGTCAAATTATATGTTTTTGGGGTCGGTGATTACGAATTTAATATCAGCTCTCAATTTTAATCATCCGGAAAGAACTTAAGTAAAAAAAAAAAAAAAAATTGAATTTGTGCAAACTTTAAGTCAAAAGTGGTACTTGAGCACAAAACCTAATAGTATCATTCTGCATAGATATACGTAAAATTGTTTTAATGATTTGATCAATTTTTTTTAAAGATTTTAGGTGTTTTTGTTAAAATATACGAAGTCTGCGAAAACACAGTTTCCCGGCAATTAAAAAAAAATGTAGTGCCGAATTTTTTTCTTGTTTAATATGTTATGGATACATATGAGTTCCAACTACTGGCAAATTTTCAACCCAAGTTTTAAAATTACGGCTAAAAACCCCGAAAAACAAAAAAACTTGTACCCCCCTAGGGGGGTGGGAAATGGGTATAGTTTAAGTTTGACATAACTGACGTGTGCGGGCATACCAAATAATTATTTCTTATACATTTCAACTCGATCCGACTCTTTTTCTCGAAATTATAGCCAGAAAAAGTTCTAACTTAAAAACTCGTACGGTTTTTTTTTTTTTTTTTTCAACTTTCGTCTGTGAAGAATTAAACTTTTTCAACTTTTTCCCCCCCAAAGTACCAACTAGATGAAATTTGCGATTTATAGAGTTGCTACTCGAAGGAATTGGTCCAGTATTAAAAAAGTTACAGTGTATACAGATAAAAAAAAACACACATCAGAGTAAAACCAATACCTTCTCGCTTTGCATCGAAGCTAAAACTGCTAGTATCTTTGTAAAGCACAAAACTGATATTATCATCCAACTTTCAGTCATTTAAAAAACGAATGATAAAAAAGTATATTGAATTACACTTCTATAACCTATGTACCTAAGTTTTTTTAAAGTCTCAAAAACTTACCAGGCTGTTGTGGTGCTACCGGTGCTGAAACACCAAAAAAATAATTCAAATAATTGTTTTTCCAATTTAATTTTGAATTTTTAACGAACTATTATAGTGGTATAAAAATTGTTAGTTGTTGATCTAAAGTGTTTAAATTGATTAGCCACAAATTATATTTTTTAAACAATATTTCAACTAGATATAATATTATATTATTCTATGCTTATAGACATGATAAATGTATTTTTGTTATCAACAATGTAATGGAAAAGTAACATTTTATACACATTTTCAGCTTTATTGAAAATAATTTTAAGACTGCTAATATCTTTGCAAAGCACAAAAACTGATATTATCATCCAACTTTCAGTCATTTAAAAAACGAATCATAAAATAGTATATTGAATTACACTTCTATAACCTGTATAAGTTTTTTTAAAGTATCAAAAACTTACCAGGCGGTTGTGGTGCTGCTGGTGGGGCTGCTGGTGGGGCTGCTGGTGGGGCTGCTGGTGGTGCTGCTGGTCGTACTACTGAAACACCAAAAAAATAATTCAAATAATTGTTTTTTTCAATTTAATTTCTTATATAAGTTCTATTAAAGTCTTAAAAACATACCAAATGGTGGTTGGTGAGGCAAACGATTTGCTGAAATAACGAAAATAAATATTCGATTTTTCAAAATGCATAATATAGCTCATTGTTCTAGGGCTATATACACAATTGTTTTAATATGTATTCCTTTTAAATGGATTTTTAAGTAGATATTTTTATACACTCATAAATAAATATTTAGTTTCCAAAAATTACGTCAATTCAACTACAAAAAAATGCAGTTATGGTCAATTTTTGTTTGTTTTCGAACGTGGTCTAATTGATATACACTTTCGTAATAAATAAATCAGAAAATTATAATGAATCAGAAATTGACATTTTTTTAAAAACAAATGTATGGTCAAAATATGGTAGGTATATACACAATATGAATTCATGCTACTTATGTGTTTGGAGAAAAAAATCCAAAAAAATTTTTTAAAATTTTTTAAAATTTATTTGGATTACTTTGGTCTTGGTCGTTAGGCTATTTTTAGTTTTATTCTGACATTTTTTTAAAACTTTTTATACACATTTTTAGTTTTATTGAAAATAATTTTAAGACTGCAATTATCTTTGCAAAGCACAAAAATTAATATTTTCTTCCAACTTACAATCATTTGAAAAACGAATGATAAAAAAGTATATTCAATTTCACTTAAAAAATGTACATGAGTTATAGCAGTGTCAAAGACTTACCTTCAAAGCCAGGAGGGTCTGAAATATCGAAAAAAATTATAAAAGTATTTTATTTATCCCAATGCATCAAATGGCTCATTGTTCTAGGGCCAAGTACACAATTTTTTTAATATGTATTCGTTTTAAATGGATTTTTAGGTAGATATTTTTATACATTCATAAATAAATATTTAGTTTCAAAAAACAAGTCAATTCAACTACAAAAAAATGCAGATATGGTCAATTTTTGTTTGTTTTCGAACGTAGTCTAATTGATATACACTTTCGTAATAAATAAATCAAAAAGTTATAATGAATCAGAAATTGACATTTTTTTAAAAACAAATGTATGGTCAAAATATGGTAGGTATATACACAATATGAATTCATGCTACTATGTGCATAGGCGCAAATACGGGGGTCTAGGGTGGGCTAAGCCCCCCCCAAAAAATTAGGTTATGTATACAATTTTGAAATACAAAAATATATTTACTTATATTTATTTTAAAAAAATGTCCAGCCCCCCCTAAATTAAAAACTGAAATTGCGCCTATGCTTATGTGTTTTAAAAAAAATGATCTCCAATTTTTTTGGATTACTTTGGTCTTGGTCGTTAGGCTATTTTTAGTTTTTTTCTGTCATTTTTTAAAAACTTTTTATACACATTTTTAGTTTTATTGAAAATAATTTTAAGACTGCTATTATCTTTGCAAACCACAAAAACTGATATTTTCTTCCAACTTACAATCATTTGAAAAACGAATGATAAAAAAGTATATTCAATTTCACTTAAAAAATGTACATGAGTTATAGCAGTGTCAAAGACTTACCATCAATGCCAGGAGGGGCTGAAATATCGAAAAAAATTACTTAAGTATTTTATTTATCCCAATGCATCATATGGCCCATTTTTCTAGGGCCAAGTACACAGTTGTTTTAACATATATTCGTTTTAGATAATTTTTTTTTCATAGGTATTTTACTACATTCATAAAATAAATATCAAGTTTGCAAAAAAAAAAAATAGTCAATTCAACTACAATAAAATTCAGAAAATTGTTAATTTTTTTGTTTTTGTGCGTGATCTAATTGATATAAATTTTCATAATAAAAATCCAAAGGTTTTAACAAATTAGAAATTGACATTTTTTAAAAACGTATCATTTTAATATTTTCATCAGAAACCTGAGGAAATTTTACATAATGTGTAGTTTCAAATTGGGATCTCCATAAAAATGCTTAGAAAAATAATATGAAATGAGGTAAAAAAAAAGGTAAAATTTGAGGTAAAAATTCATAGAAAAATGGAAAAAACATGTGAAAACGACCACAGATTCGAAATATTTACCCGCACATGCTGACATCATAATGCAAAACAAAAATATGATAATAAAAGTTATACTTTTGAAGTTCAATTTTCAGGTAGATAATATTAAATAGTACATACATTAGGTAATAATATACTATTTGAAATATTTCATATAATTTTGTTTACAAAAAAAAAAAAATTATATACTAAAAATGTTTTTTATATACCTGCATGCGCTAAAATGATAACGCAAATCAATGTTGTTAAAAAAAAATATAGGCTATTTAACTTCATTTTTCAAGTAGATATTAATAAATGGTATATTAAAGTTACGAAATTTAAAACGCTAAATAAAATATTAATTTTTAGATTTACAGTTTAAGTAAAACACCAAGATTGTAGAACACTATACTAGAGCAACTTGCTGCTTATGGTATATAGAGGTATATGTGCTGCACAAAATTTGAAAATGTTTGTTAGTAGGTGAAGGGAGTGTACAATTTGTAATTATTTATGTATTTTTATTGTGTATGTGTTCATTGTTTGGTAAATATGTTTGACTCAATGATGTACATTTCGTGTATTATTGTTACGAATAAAACGTGTAGACAAAACACAATTGTTTTTTGTTCTATAACTAGTTTAATACAGCCAGACTTTTTTATTGTTTTAGGAACTTATTTATTTAAGTTTTGCATCAAAGTGAATTATGAATAATATTTTTCACACTAGTGGTGTTAAATGTATAGGTTACACTCAAATAGTTCAATTCCAACCCTACAGTTAATTTAGTATCATAAAGGACTAGATATTATTGACAAAAACTATTCTATAAGTCAATGTACGAAGTAATTCAATTAATTGATATTTCCCTGTTATTTTAACATATTGTTTAACAATGCAAGTCTATCTTATCATTATGCACTAAGGTTTCATATACATATTTAAAACAATATAAGCCCAGCATTTTCTTTTTTTTAGTTAGCTATCGATACACCAACCAGTTCTTCTTAGTCAATACATTACCACAACTTTTTAAGATTAACAATTTTACAAATTTTGAATAGAGCGTGCAATAATGTTGTGAAAAATAATTAAAACAGTTCATAATACAGATGTACACAGTCTTGAACCCAGAAGTTACCATTAACCCTTATTACCCATTACATTTGTTTGCACAGTATAATAATTTAATGTATGAAAATTTAAAACTTAAGTTAAGATAGATCTAGTGCTTAGGCAACACTGTTATTCTACCGTCGTATCTGAAATTAATTACAATTTTCTGCAAAAAAAAACAAATTTTTTTGACAATAAAAAAAAAATTGTTGCTCTGACTATTATTTTATTTTATTTTAAAGAAATATATTCTACTCAGTCCAGGTTAATCCAGCCAGTTAAATTTATTTATTGGGCTAGAAATCGAATTATTTATTGGTAAAATCGAACTGAAAATAGTTTTAAGTACTAACATAACATTCTTCTACATTGATAGAAGTAGAAATTACAATCTAATTCGAAATGTATACTTTTATACAACTATTCGAATATTGGAATCTTTAAAAATGATGTAGTCTAATCCAAATTACAGCCTTATGGATATTGTGTATTCTAATTAACACAATTAACATAATTATTGTGTTCATACATTCAGATTCCCTTATTATCCTTTATCTAAATCAAAAATGTTTTATAATTATAACTAGGAATTTTTTTTTTAAATCATTTATCGTGTATATTGTAATCCAATATTGTATTATTGTTTATGAAACCCAAGCTGTTTTCCCAGCGACTGTTGTAATGTAAACGTATCACAAACTTTGAATATTATAAGAATCTTCGTATTCTATAAAAACCATGGTTTTATTTTTTATTTTTATTGAAAACGAGGTGTTTTTCTTAACATTTTTTATTTTGCAGTTGTTTTTGTATTTAATAGTTTGACCTATTCAATTTCTTTTTTCAATTTTTTTAAAATTATTATAATATTATAACAAAGTAATTTTTTCCCCCTGAATAGATTTGGCTACATAAGGAGCTTTTTAGGGTGAAACAAAATTGTATTCGACTATTTCACAACAATTGTTGCAATGTAAACAAATGTCTGTTGATATCATAGAATACCAAAAATATGACAGTTAGAAATACCGGGTGAATTGGTTTGTGTAAAGATACACTGGCATTGCTAGAACTTGGCCGGCGCACTGTTAAATTTTCAGGAAGTTGCTGTCCATTATTCCCTGACTGAACAAGTCCAATTTTATCCAACACTTGATGATATCCCTTATTTTTTTGATAAAGTTAAATACTAGTTTTTATTATAATACCTTTATCCCTCGAAATACTAGTCAATTCTGATATAATGTTTTTCACTATCTCCACTAATGTCAAATCTTATAATTATTGTATTAATCTAATCAGATGCTTCTAAATTTTTAATTACATATAAAAGCCTAGAAAAGTGAACTTGTGTTAAATCGTTTTTTACTGAATCCAAACTTAACAATTCTTTACACAATGCACTTTACATATTCTTTGGACTATGCAATGAGAAAAGAAAAACTTTTATTCGATTAGAGAAATTCAATTGATACCGGAACCCAGATAGATCTTATTTATTTAATGAAATTAGCAAAGATGAACACATGGTAAATAAAAAGAGTTTTTTTTAGTAAAAAGAAGAAAATAATAATAAAGATGTTTGCCTAAAGTCCTATGGCTTTTCTCGAGACTGCCGTTGCTTTGTGGTCTGTAAGGAATCGTGGATGTTTTCTTTATCTTCAGTAAACGATTTGTTTCTTTGAAAACATCACTGAGAAATTCTGTGCCACAATCGGTAACGAGGTTCTGAGTGATTCCATGTAAACATAAAAGTTTGGTAACAAAATGATAAGCTACAGTGTTAGCTTCATGGTTTTCCATGGAGACTGCCCATGAAAATGTTGTCAGGTCATCTTGTAAAGTTAGGATGTACGCATTGTCGAGATGAGTACGATGAAGAGGACCGACGACATCCATGAAGACCTTTTCAAAGGACTTTGAGGATGTACTAGTGATAACCACCGGGGCCTTTACATGACGATTAGTGTTCTGTTTTTCTGGCACGAGACATTGATTTAAGCCAAATCCTAACTTAGGTAAGGCTAACTTTTCTATTTAATGTTCGATACAAAACTCTTGGAGACTAGATAAATGCGAGCAAGTGCTAAACTGAGATCTTTAATTTCTTTAGCGAATACTACACGCGATTAAGGCTTCGGCCAAATACGAACAAAACAGAGGTTTCCACTTTTCATCAAAATAATACATAGGCAAACGATACATTGAATAATGTTATGTTCAATAGGCACAGTGTTAAACACAACACCCACCGTATCTAGGTGTTACATTAGATAGGATACTACCATACAAATGTCATTTAGCCAACGTTGCAGCGAAAATCAGCTCCCGCAATAACATTATTTAAAACCTCACAGGTAGAGAATGGGACGCAGACTTCTCAGTTCTAAGAACATCCACCTTAGCACTTGTTTAGTCGGCTGCAGAGTACTGTAATTTCGTTTGATTTAACAGCGCTTACAAGAAAATGGTAGACTCCTAACTAAATCTTAGTCTGCGCATAATTTCTGAAACTATAAAGTCTACCCCTACTCAAAATGGTTACCTACGCTATGTAATATCGCCCCTTCTGCATTGAGATGCTAACAAGCCCTGCTAAATGAATGGTAGAAGTACATCATGTCCCTATCCCTACCAATCTACCATTATGGCACACTTTTTTCAAGAACTATAAGGCTTAAATCTAGAAAACCCGTATGGAGAACAGAAGCCTGGAAGAAAGAATGGACAGCATCAAATCTCAACCAAAACTACATCCCCACGCGGTATGTCCACAGCCAGTTAATTCATTAATCCGACGTATTGGAAAAACGGATTATTTTTTATTCAAGTAACCCTGAATTACTTCGATTAATTTAAGAACAATCTAGTAATCCAGGGTTAATAATTCTGCCCATCTCTGCATGTAACTATCTTTTGCAAACCAAACCTATATGTCTAATATGTCGGATGGCTCCCAGCAACTTTTGAAACTTAAATGGTAACGTATATATTTTATTACTTTTTTAAATAGAGAATAATGTATTACAAATTTTGACTGGTCGATAACCAGTTTCGGATAACTATTTTTGAAGCTATAAGAGTTTAAAAGTTAGGATGGGAAGGGGGTAAAAAACAAAAAAAATTGAGAAAAATTGAGATCACATTATATGAAAAAATAACACGAAAAAAAAAATTCAATTATTATTTTAACCCAGTGAGATATTGACTGGTTCATGATAAAAGAATGACCCTGTACAAAATGATAACGAGCTTCTAGAGATTTTTAGTGTAAGCACAGCGTAGCTTCATGTCCCAGCTAGGGTCCCATGATTAAGACCTTGAAGGTGGTCAGTCTTAAGTATGATCCCCTTACTTCACTACACCGTAACAAAGTATAATTTTTAGGGAGAGGGGAAGTGATTTGAAAAATTATATTTACAGAAAGCGCTATATTATATTATACTACAATTATTCTAAAATAAAATTATACAGATAATTATTTTTATAATTTTTCGAATAAAGAATTGTTTTATTCATTTTTTTTTTTTTATGCTCTTAAGTACATTTTAGTTTATTATTTAAATTTTTTTTTTTGAACATAGTATACTGAAGCTATGGACAATATGAAATTGTTTACTTTTTATAGTGTTTTCTAGAGCTTTATCAAATTTTGAAACTTTTATGATAACGTACATATTTTATTAACTTGATCATTTAAAAATATTTGCTGAAAAAATTGACTATCAACTATATTGGTAAACGTACTGAGTGAATACATTATATGTATACATATGTGCTGTATTATAATCGGTATTACTTAATTTTTAAAGTTTATAACATCCGATATGGATAGTAAATATATAGTATATCACTCTTACCAATGGTGACGTTAAGAAATATACGGCGCAGCCAAAAAAGGCGCTTTTAAAATGGATAATTTGAATTGTTTTCAAAACAATAATCAAATTTTAATCGAATACTTGTAACAATTTAGCTGCAAGACTTTTGGCACCAAAGACGAAAAACAGTAAAATAAGTATTTTCTAATTGTCTTCCATGTTGATTTAACACAACTCACAAATGCAAAAAAACAACAATATTTTCCTAACCGTACTATGAATACTCTTGGATATTATAATATATAAGAATGCACTGTGGTCTGTATACATATTCAACACTATAAGATGTAAAAAATATTTCCTAGACAAATACAAATTTTTTTCTTTTCTTATTATTTTACAGCTTTCTTAGCACATGATGACAAAGATTTGTTCTTATTTTTTTCACCGCGGACGAGTACGTTTTGTTTCTACAACA